TAACGTGAACGACGTTATTGCCTGCTCTGAATTGTTTGCTAATCAACCGTTCTCGTTAAACAGTCTTAAAAGAAAACATATAGTATGTTAATAAATATCATTTGACTAAATCTTACACACCAGTTTGATCTATTTATCAATTCTTTATTAATTCGTTGAATGAAACTCATTTTAGAACGAATTACTTGGCATACACGACATGTCTTCGTGGAGGCCTTTTAAAAAGAAAAAACTAATAGAAAGAGGCATGCTAATAAAACAGATGGACCAAGCTATACAAAGGGAAGGTGGAATCAATGAAATGTCTAACGAAGCAATGCGTTGGGTGCGCATCAAATTTTCTCATGTTCATTATTTATTTAAACGTTTATTCGTGTACACACTATACAGTATATTACATCTAAATGTTTTAGGCACTTTCGTTCAGGGGTGTAAATCCTGCAAATATGTCGTTAGAAAGTATGAAAAACTGGCTTGAGCAGTGGTTTGTAATATCGAACACAGTGAACGAAAACACGATATCGTTATTATTACACAGCCCCGTATTATTGGCATACAATCATCCCACTAACTGGACCCTCGTGTACGGTTAAAACAGTACCACTTAATATATTTTCTCTTTATTGTAAAAAGATGTGTAAGAATGGTAACAATACAAAGTTTAAGTATCGTGTATCGTGTTTCAAGTGTGTACAAGTTGTTTCTTATAATCATGTTAATTTCAACGTTCGTTTCATAAAATATATGTAAATAAATTGTATATTCATGTATTATACATATGTACACATCTGTGTAACGAATAAGGGGTTTATAAAACATTTTTATCAGTATTATGTAAATATCTTGTTTAGAATATCTCTTACGTACAAAATAATTTCGTTCATATCATTTCAAATCCGTTGTTGTTCCGAATAAAATTATTGTAATTTGTGTGTAGATAAAATACTTTCAGATACACGTAGTTCAGCTTCGAGTTACACTGTCATAAAACGTAATTGTTTAATTTGTTACAAACTTACTTAATTACTTTGCGACTTCATCATCGATCAGAACGTGAATTGTTTTGTCGAATTGAATCAAAAGTAACAAGTCGAAATATGTCAAGGATCATTTGAAAAGATGTTAATCGATAGGTATATAAGCAGGTAGAACACCAATTGGAGGTCGTTTTAATACTTGTCGACTGGACACAGTTTCCGATTCATCACTGTCTCCGCTTATATCCGAATTTGTACTACTATCCGATATTTCAATTGGCGTATTAGAATTACCTAGAGATTCTACTTTCCTCATAAGCTTCATTTTTTTCATGATATTCTCTCGTTTCTTATCAAGCGATTTATTCAAGGTGTCTGCTTGTTCGTAATATCTAAGTTTACTTTCGGTATTGGAAGTAAAAGTATCTTTGGGAACAGACGACACGGCACGATTGCTAGATGTGTTGTACTTTCTTTTCAAGTGGCTCTGTTTGTTGGGAGTCAATTGTGTCTTGTGTGGATATGGACAATGCTTACCTTTACTGCACTTGTTTGTCTTATCGAACTCGGGGCACAGATTCTCATGACGTTGCTTACACTGTAAAAGAAGTAACTTCCATGTCTTTTGAAATATCGTCTTTCGATGCACCAAGTCACTCTTAAGTTTCTTAAAAAGTGTCTTCGCCAATTGATAGTTTCTCGTCGGTCAAATATTATAATTTAATTTCGAGGTCAACAAGCTAGATGAGTAAAGTACACTTACCTCACTACCTTTAGCACAATATCCCTGTAAGAAATCTATGCAAATCGGAGTACTGGAAGAGACCTTGATGTGGCGATAAGGGCAAGCGTCTCGCGTGCAACAACCTTCCAAGAAATACTTGCAAGTCGGCATTTTTTCTGGACCTACATCGTGGGACAACGGACAGTTGTCCGATAAACAAGTCCCTTGAAGGAATCTGGAAGAATAGTTTTTCCATGCAACACGATCTTTCATCTCTGTTCTGAAGCACATGAGCCAATCTTACTTTTTACAGAGGGAAACCTGCTTTCTGTCATGACGTTTCACGCAAACTCCTTTCGCGTGATTTGAACAGTATCCGAATTTTTGGAATATCAAACACGGGTGATTATTTTTCTGCATTTTATTACGCAATATTTGGATACTTTTCTGTTTGACTTTATTGCTGCGAACAAAATAAAATATAGATCACTATATGATCGTGTGTATGCGTGTGCATACAAACAGAAACTACAGACCTGATGTTATTTTTGTAATTTATCTTTTGTAATACATTGGCTGAGTATCTGTTTCCACTTGCCACACTCGATGTTCTCACGCTCGTGTTTCCTGACGTTTCCTTTGCAGATTTCACTCTACATAATTTCTTTCCATTGGTAGCTACAATAAACTTATCTGCCTTTACGTTCGACAATCGTTTCTCTGAATGGACGTTACAAAGTATCATCAATAAAGAAATAAAAATTCACACAACACAGTCAATTGAGACTTACTCTTGGCGCTATAACTTCTACGAACTAGCTGATTTTTCGAAGATTTGTAGACAATGCCTCCTATCGTAATTAACTCTACTTTATTATTCCTGTAATAGATTTACAAATTGTATGAATTCGTGTTAATAATCATTATTCTACTTTGAATACGTACACAGTTTTTTTTGCTGGCTCTCTGATACTTCCGATCTTCCGACTAGTTCGATCTATTCTATACTTGTTTATCTTAGATTTCACGATTGGCGATTTTACAACGGTGACTTCTTTACTAAGCGACTGTTGTGAAGTGTTTATTACTTTCGTTTTCACAATTTTCTGAGGTATTGATCTACTATTCCCAAGTACCAAATTAGTAGATCTTCTCACTTTACGAAGTTCTACCTGGGAATTGTTCAACGATTTCCGAGTGCTTCGTCTAACGCGTACGAGTTTCCTTCTCGATAGAATTAGAATGTTGGAATTGTTCGTTTTCTTTTGATTGGGACTGGCTTTCGGGGAGACTGTACTTTTTACAAGTTTCAATCTCGAACAAACGGGTTGAGTTACATTTGGTACAACCACTTCTTTGTGCTCCGTTGGTTTCGATTGAACAGAGTGAGACAATTTTTTTATCAATTTCGGATTAACGTACACAGACTTTTGAACGATCATTTGATTCGGCGTTGGATTTTGTTTTGTACTTGTATTCACTATGTTTACAGAATTACTTTGGACATTGTCGGTGGACTTAACGATATTCCTCATCATTTTTGGGTTGACGTGCACCAAAGATTTCACATGTAATTTCGGATTGATATATATCGCGGAATTCTGAGGTTTGAAATTCGGATTAATATAAACGTTGGTGCTTGCCAATTCACTGCACGAGTAATCATTAAAGGGTTTAATCAACGACTGAGTTTTCTGCATTATACTCGCACATTTTTCCGATCTCGCAAAATTTAGATTTTCATTCATAACAGGCTTTGTCACGCAACACAATTTATTCAATGATTTTTTCTTATGACTTTCAATTAAACCTGTAACGAATAAAATTAATGGTATAAGAAGTTACACGTTATTACCATCGTGTTATAGGCTGTAATTCTTCTTTGAATCTCTTCATTCGATATAAATCGTAAGTTCGAAAAATCATAATTAAGTGGATATTAAGTTCATTTTTAACGTTTGTACATGTTAGACATGTAAAAATTGTAAGAGGTAAAACGAAGACGTGAACTTACGTGTCAAATAGTGTATTTCTTTGATCAAGCTTTCATCCATGTTTAACAGCTTGGAGATCTTACTTTTCGTTTAATAAACGACAAAAGCACGGTAGAGAATAATATGTCCGCAGTAAAGGAAATTTATTTCACAAATCACTGTATCATATGTTAAATCTGACATTCATCGCTTCAAGGAAATAATCATAAACTAAATGTTTCGAAGAGACGTCGCTTTTTAACATTCTGATTCTGCATGTTCTGGATGCTACTGCTGTCGGCGTGGATGAAATGAACTAAGCGAGGTCAATTTTGCATGCCACGAATCTCCAGCTCACAGTACTATCGATTTGGTCGATAGTAGCCAACGATACTTTTAGTCAAATCTCTGATACTATCGACTACATCGAACCAACTTCAGGCGGCTGTTTGAATTATCGACAGAGAGAAAATTACCAGTGATTCCATCGTCACAAGCGTAAGGAGAATGAGCTATTGCTCGACGGTTCGAATCACTTATGTATCTA